TCGTGTAGAATTATCAATGGTATCAAAATTAAAAGATATTCAACCAATCGGATTCAAATAGTTTAGTGAAATGTCATTGCTTACCTTATTAATTTTGTTCTAAGCAGTTGATTTTCCCTGATTATCCGGATATTATTTTTTTCGATATTGCAAATTATACTTTACATATATGCTTGCCTATAACCATGCATATATATATATATATATATATTTATTTATTTATTTATTTATGTGCAAGTGTATGTATGTATGTGTGTGTGTGTGTATGTGCGTGCGTGCGTGCGTGCGTGTATTTATATGTGTGTTCATATATATATATATATATATATATATATATATATATATATATATATAGGAGCGTGTGCGTGTATGCGCCGAGCGTATGCGTTTATGCGCCACTATTCGATTGTTACTCGATATATCGAGAACTAAATGTAATCAAAACGAACTTTGGACTTTAGACTTTGTCGTACGACTGCTCAAATAATCTCGTGACTCTTGTTCGTGCATATGTAGCCGAAGCTATTTTCCCTCACTCTTTGTGATCAGTGCCGTAGTTGCCATTGGAAAAACCCTCGCCATACATTATTAAAAAAGTAGAATAAATTAATTTGGAGCTAAAAAAAGTGCTTGAAAAATATTTGTAGAATATTAAAATAATTGGGAATATACTGAAATAATCATAATAATTATAATGATTATTAGTTAATTAGTAAAAATTAATAATGCTCTTATTGCGTAATTAGGTTAATAACAATAAGAATAGATTATTAAGAAATCTCTTAATTTTGTTATTTCAAATGACCAATATACAATTTATTGGAACGTATTGGATTAAATAATAGAATAATAATATAACGTTGTCTTTCATTATATTATTACTTGTAATTGATTCAAAATATTATTATCAAAAGTATTAATTGTAAATAAAAATTCATTACAAAATTGACTAATATTGAATAGAATAAATTAAATGCATTTAATTGTAAATTATGTATATTATTATATTCATCCCTACTTTTTACACGTTTCAAAACATATTCTAGTTATATATACAATTTACAGTTAAAATAATCCAATAATAGAATAATATTAATAGATAAAAATAATTTAATTACAGCATATATATTTTTATATGTAAATAGTTACTTAGCAGTTACTTATTTATATTAGTATATATATATTTGAACTAACCTAATCTTTAAATATTTTATATACATTTAAATAAAGGGAATTGTTTGCATACTATTAACTTTTATTATTCATATAAATTTTTATAAATGTAGCGCTTCCTTATTTCACTCCTCATAATTACTATTGTTGTAAAATTTCAGGGCATTATTAAAACAAGTTTAAAACAAAAGAATAGAAGTCGCAAATAAAGCTTTTAAAAATATGCTATCATCTTTATAGATATTCGATAATTTTATTTGCACTTTATGAAGATCAATGGTATCATTAAAAAAAAAAAAAAAATCTCTAATGAGATAAAAATTTGTCATTAGACAGGTTTGAAGTATTATTGAATTTTAAGTTTTATTTCGATATAATGCACGCATTAATATATATAAAATTTCCAATTTACATAATTTCATAATATATTTTAGAAAATAAATATTTACAAATAAACATTTTTTAATGTTATTTTATGTTACGAAGGCACTTTAAATTAATGATATTTATAACACTTATATTATATATTTATAAATGATTTCAATAGTAAGATTACATACAATTAAGATACTCGCCTATTAAGATACATATACATTTAAGATGTACAATTAAAACAATGAAAAGGTATAAAAGATTCAATTGGAAAAGCCTCTTTAGTAGAAAAATTTGACTATATTTAGTAAGAATGAAGTAGAATAAGCAATGTAAATAAATTAATTAAATTTTATAGACATCATGTATATATATATATATATATATATATTTTTGTTTTTGTTTTTATATATATACGCGCGCGTGTATGTTTACTTGTGTAGAGTTTATACATATGCAGAGAATTATATTTTCTGGAGGCATTTTTTAATTTTATAACCTTTTATAACCTTTTTTTTTAAAAATTTTGTAACCTTAATTTTCAGATAAGTATTAAAAAAATAATAATACGGAAAGATATAACATAGTGAAATCTGTCACGCCAGCCTTTTTGTCTAGAAACGAGGACGCCAACATAATATACATGCATCAATTGTTTTCTAAAAAATTAAAAAAAGAAGTATGTATATGTATATTTGGAGTATTATAATTTATAACCAAATTATAAGTTAGGAGAAATATAATTAAAATTATACAAGTGCAAGGGAGTTTATTGGTAAGATTCTTTCTATGATATCTTTGCTCTACGTTATAGCAGAAGATGTAGGTAAAAACGAATAAAATATGTTTCCTAAAATAAATATTGAAATAACATTTAGTAATAAAGTCATTGAGACTTGATTTTTATATATTTTCATAAATGCTTAGATAATTAAAATTCAAATATCTTCTTCAGCTTTAGGCATTGAACAATGAAATTTTTGTATGTATTACGTTACGTAAGAGTATTAAAAATGTTATTAAAAATTGAAAATAATACTATAACGTATGTCTTTGAACTTAATAATTGAAAAATTATATAAGAACTTTGACGATAAGTTTGTTTAAAAATTGTTTGATTTTCTTTTAAATTTAATAAGATAATAATATAAAATAAATTATAGTTATAAATAGTATAATACATATTATAAGATAAATTCTTAACATTAAGATAATTAAAATTAAAAGATAAAATTATTAAAAATACATTTTATAATTTTTAATAAATTGAAGATAATTTAAATAATGATAAAATTATATATTATTTATAATTCTTCGTTGCAATTAAGCAAGCGTATTGCAAATTTTTAATAAATAAAACACGTAGCTTCTATTGTACTTTGGAATTATTTTTCAATCAAATGATTCTTCAAATCAATACTTACTGATTAAATGATTTCTTTCTTTGCGTAATTTCATAAGATTGTCGGTGATTAATGTATTAGCGTACCTAGAATAACAGCATAGATTAAACGATTAATCATCAAGTTAAAAATCATGATATCGCAATTAGAATTATTTGCTATCAATTGTTGTAGCTTATTTAAAATGAGAAAAAAAATAGGTTAAGAATCATATTATATGTTAGCATTTTAACTTATTTTAATTGTAATTTTGTAGCACTTCATGCGGAATATGTATATTTCAAATGCAAAAAGTATAATGAATTAAATTAAGGTTTATGTTAATTTGAATAAAAATTAATTTTCTTTTTCTTTTTCTTTATCATATAAAACAATATATAAACAAAAATTTTGATAAATTTTTTCCTTTCGATAGGCTGGATAATCATTGTACTGAAAATCAAAAATATACCTGGGAAAATCTTACGATTAGAATGATAAGAGCAGCTCGCAAAATTTCATCATAATGGCATTAAACACGAACACAAATTTATACTGAAACGGGGTGGGGTGGGGGTGATGATGAATATTTTATGAACTATATTAATTTATGTAATTTATAATAATTTTTATTATTGTGCCTATATTGTTAGCTAAGAAAGAAAGTAGTGCAGTGCGTAATATAGACATTTTATAAGAAAAAATCATTATTACGAAAAACAGATTTTTTATTTTTCATATTATACAGGCTTAGCAATAATGTAATGTAGTTAATTTTTTAAAACATGTTTGTAAATGGAATAGTCAAATGATAATTAGTCAATAGCAGAAAATGTCTTACAAAATTTAAATACGTCAATAGCCACAATTTTATCTACATTTATTTATTACATACAGTGCTTGGTAATTACATCAATTTGATATAATTTAATTTTCAATTGTATGAAATTATATAATTTTCTCATATATCGTTCTATTATTTCTTTAATATAACATATTATTGTATAATTAGTATTATTATATAAATTAAACAAATATATAAAATTCATACAAAAGATTACAATTTCGTCTTTTTTTAAAAGGAACACGTTTTATTTTTCTCTTAATTCTGCAGTTTTTTTTTTTTTTTGGATTACACATACATATTTGTTAAAAAATACTGTTAATAATTATATTTGTACTCTTTATATGATTCTTATTATTACCAGTCTACATATATATATATATATATATATATATATATAACATATTAATCAATCATGAGTCGAGACACATTGAATTTTTTCATATTTCAATGACGAACGCATTGGCTTGGGTGAAAGTGATTAAAATGATATTTAATTCCTTACATATAGCAATAAGGTGTGTATACATATATATATATATATATATATATATGTGTGTGTGTGTGTGCGTGTGTGCGCGTGTGTTAAAATATATGTGTATATATATGTAAAAGAAAATAAGCAACAAAACGTAGCGTACTATTCAAACGTAAAAGCATCTATGATAGACAAAGTTATAAAGTGACACATAGACTAATAATATCATACTATATCGTTATTTGCTCAAGTTTCATGATAATGATAATATTACAAATACATTGCCGCTATTAGCTTATTTGCAAGCATCATAACACATTAGGAGTAGCTAAATTGCTGATTAGAATGCGCTAGTCGGTTATAGACGAGTCAAAAGGCAGTGTAAAGGAACTTCCAGTCTTACTTATTTGACTTTTTTCGAATGTTTCTTGCTCGTAGCCTTCTCCTTTGTTGGCGCTACGGACAGGTTATTGACTTTGTCGCTAATGAGAGCAATATACTGCGTCATATGAAGAAAGCTCACCACGTTACTCAAATACGTCTTCAGATTGTCCTTGTTGAGAGTGCGCAACTGAAGGGCGACGTGCATGTAAACGCGCCTGGTCGCTTTGTTAGACAGACGTCCGACCGTTTGGAGCGTATGGAGGAGCTTGTCTTCCTCCATCGAGACTGATTCTGAAATGTAATAATTGCGCGTTGGTAAGACTACGGAGCTTAACTTACAGCGCAGAGTGTAACCGATCATTTTAAAAACAAAAAAGTTAACGAGGCTTGGAAATTCGATCGCGCCACTACTGACCGTCGAAGTATAATTTCCGCTCATATGAAATATCAAATGAGATTTTCATGGTTAAACGGAGTTTGTGAGTTTGGGGAATCGTGAATTATTGTCCGATGTGTCCGTAGTCGGTGTGCTATAAAAATTCCGTATCACGTGTTGGTTGCAAGCGAAGCATTTAGAAATTTACGTTTTCCTTTATTAGCATTCTGAAAATGTGGAAAAGAAAAACCTCGCGCAGTTGAGCAATTGCCGGACAACTGCATAGTAAGCTAAATAGTGAGTATAATGAACCTGGGAATTCCTCGTTGCCGATTGGGGGAAAGTACTTGTCAATCAACATTTCGACCACGATAGCTGTACAGTCGAGGCCATGAACCGCCGCAATGCCATAATTCGTGCTGAGTATTTGATTCATTTTGTTCCAGCTCATATCCTTGATGGTTGCAGCTTGAGTGGTGACTAGTTCGTTTGCGTAAACGAACGTCGATGCAGCCGTGTGCACAGCCAACATGTACGCATTTTCCAAAATCTGAAGAATTTAAAGTTTTTGTAATGTTAAGGAGGGCTGTAATGTTAGAGGGAGAAGACGTCGCACTCAAGATGTTTCATTTACTTAATACTTGAGAAAGGATTTTATAATAGAGTAGCGATAAATTAGCACTAGACTCGAAAAATTCAGCTACTTGTAAAGATAATAGAAGCTACGTTACGATAGAAGTTCGATTATTTTAAGAATCATTTTATTGAATTTCTCTTTATAAAAATCTCATAGTGAATTAGGCATTTTTATTATTTTCCGTCGAGATTAATCTTAAACGTACGTATTATGAACTTTTTTTTTTTTTTTTTTTTTTTTTTTTTAAAAAAAATTAAAACATTAAAACAATATCTTTCATCGAGGGAAAACTCTATGTTCATAAATTAAAAATCTTAATAGACTTAATACAAATCTTAATGTAATCGAGTTAATAATGTTGGCCTGTAATACAACAACGTGCGCACGTTGATAGAATAACGCAAGTGATTTTAATTATAGTGCACGGACACGATCAATTTTTTTGCAAGCGTTAAATTATTCAATTCAGTGGACTGAGATTACGTTCGGAGAAATGCAATCGAAGTTAATAAAGAGTACTAGCAGTGATATAATTACAAGCTTTCGAGTGCATGTGCACCGAATTGCACCGCATTCGATAGATTTAGCGTAATGAGGAATGCGTATAATCTGATATGCCAATATGAAAAAGTTTTTTAACTTTTATCTACGTCATCTTATATTCCACGTATTCCACCCCTATCGGCACCTCCCCCCCCCCCCCCCCCCCCCCCCCCCCCCCCCCCCCCTCCCGTCACCCCATTGCGTAATCTATCGATGCCGAACCGAATATTTTTACCCTGACTTTCTTCTGCATTTTTGGCTTTTTCAAATGCAACCAGAAAAAAGGCCATTTCTAGGAGAGCGGGCAATCGGAAAGAGAGCATGCGCCCCACATCCCCATCTTCACCCATCCCCGCTCTTCAACGTCCAAACAGAGAAAACAATCAGGAGGCAGTAAAGAAAGGCATACGTGCGGATTCGACAAACGGAACGAGCGAAGGGGACAAGGAAAAAAGGTGCTCTTTTATACGTGCTTGAGCCTACCAATTCCGGTTTCTGCTTGACAATCGGCATCTTCTTCTCGATGTGGTCCAGACCGCGGCAGAGCGTGTGGTCGACAAAGTGGATCGGCATCTCGAGTTTCTTGGCGTAGGGGGCGGCCTGCCTCGTTGCCGAGGTGAGCGACGACTCTGCCGTCGAGAGGGCCCACTTGACCAGCTGGTGCGAGTCTTTGAATCGCGTGTACGTCGAGGAGGACTTGTTCAGGGCGAGTTCGACCAGCGGTAGCTCCAGCATCCGGTGCATGACCTCGAGTTGCGGCAGTTGGGCTGGTTGCGTCGTCATTTTAACGACGGCTTTGGCTGCTGCTTCGTGATATATGGAATTGAAAGCCAACGAGAGATCTTTATGGTTTCGGTTTACTTCACAGACGGAGAAAGCACTGACACACGCTGCACTTTCACCGGCATACAGATTAATCGTCGCTTTTTAAACTGCTTTACCGATAATATATTTTTTTTTATTCTCCAATGCTTCGCTGCTTTTATTTCGTTAACTTCGAAAGACTTTAATCTACTATGGTTTCGGCTTTATTATTTTCTTATCGTGCTTAATGTACTTTGTCAAATTCATTAGCACTCCCATCGGTTTTATCCGTATATCTATAATAAATCTATAATTTAATGTATTTTATTATCGCGATGTCAATAGTAAGCAAAGGCCTACGTATTAAAGTTAATGTTAGGGAGGATGAGAGGGTGGTGATTATTAATACGACATTTAATAGAATTTCAATAATATTATCGGAGAGGCTGTAGGATGAGCATTATCAATTTTCAATTAGTATGTATTAAGTCTATTATTTGAAATAATATTGGCTTTTATTTCCTTTATATTTAATTTTCTCGACTAATTAATTGATCGTTTTAATATTGTTGGCAAGGTTATGTATCTATTATAGAAGAATAATTTAATACTGGAATTGTAATAATCGTCAGCCTCTAATCACTCGAGTTGAAGAATTTTTATATTTTTATTTGTAATCACTTTGATAATTTTAATGCAAGGTAAGTGGGTATGAGCAATAAATAATCATCGGAGTCGTTGCTTGCACAGACTGATATGTCTAGTATTATGGAAAAAAAGTAATTTAAATAGAAGTATGTGATACGTTATTGCACATATTTATAACAATTGTGAAAATTATACGTTTTTTTTTGTTTTTGTTTTTTTTTTCTTCCGAAACATCAATGTACAAAATGATAAATAATAATTTTAACTCGGGGCTGTTTGAATAAATGATGAATCGATGAAATCCGAATGAATAGTAGGAGAGCGAAGGTTCAATGGAATTCAGAGAAGGTTACGACCAATCATTAAAGAATGAACGCCAACCTATGACTACGAATATGGACATTGAATGGCTTTTGTAGTCTGTCTTTGTTTCTTTTTTCTTTTTTTCTTCTTTTTTTTTCCTTTTTTCTTTTTAAACTTGCGCCTAGCACGCTCTCATTTCTCAAATAAAATTTCTTTTGTAGCCGATTACCGATTTTATCGTGAATGTGCATTATTTGAATTATGCTTAAATAATTGAAAAATGGAGAAAATAAATAAAATATGATGATAGTGAGATGGAAATATCGTTAAAGCGTAAAAATAGAAGAAGTACATTTTATCTCATAGGATGTAGCTACAGAAGATAGCATTGGTTGTTTGACAAAGTAAATATTGTTTTATCTCACTGTTAAACGAACGAATAATATCTCATTTAACCAACGTATTTCGTAATTTTAGTAGTATTTCAAATTATACTGTTAGAGTATAAACTAATTATAGTTGAATGTATTACAGTTATTGAGTAAATAAGCTTTCGATATGATAACCTTATATGTAAAGTATAAGCTTGTATTGTTATTAGCCATCATAATCTAAGCTTCGTTGTAATTTATTTTATATAAAATGTTTTTTTACAGTTACTTGCATTTTTAATAAAATCCAACGTCTAAAAGTAAAATTCTATTAAATGTGGATTAATAAGTTTCTTGGATGCCTGTTTAGTAGTTATGGAGTTGTTTTTAAATATCATTAATATTAAGCAGAAGTTTTATGGAAGTTTTACGACGTAATTTTATATTTTACATAAGACTTACTTCATTATTATTATTATTATTATTATTATTATTGGAACGATAGTTGCTTAGGCATAAATACATGGCACTTTACGTAATTATGAAGAAAGAAAAATTAGCTTATATATATATATATATATATATATATATTATATTTTTTCTCTTTTTTCCTAAGACGTTAAAGCTCGATGAGAGGACATTTGAATTTCAACTCGTCTTAACGTCAATGTAAAAATGATAGTTTAAAAGTTAAATTATGCAAAGTCAGTCGTCAACAGATGCGCGATTTTTTCAAGTCTATGCTTGACCTTGTACTGAATTAGCTTACCCGACACTTTTTATTAGAAGCGAATTTGATTATGAATTATGAGCGATTCGACTATCGCACAAGGTACTTTAATATCAAGAATTTAAAACTATTTTGCCGCATTAGTCGACAACAGAAGCCGTCTATACCATAAATTTAACGAAACAAGTCCATTTGCCCTGGAGTTACGCATGTATAACCGACAATAAACTATTCAATTCGATACACAATTTATCACATAGATTTGAATGACGAATCGTCATTAGATCAGCCGTTATAAAGTAAATTATACATATGTTTATATTATGATTGTTGGATAGAGGTGGTTAATGTATAGGTGATTAAGGTTTTTGTAACCGTAAAAACTATTGCCTAGGATTACCAAGCTTTCGACTATCATATTATTTATGCATTTAAACCTCGAGATGAACAATACGCTTATTCCACCAAGTTAGTAAACTGTATTTCTGGCCCTGCTCCCCAGCCCCGGATATAAACTCTAACAATCACCGACAATTCCAATTAATCTATCTATCCCTCCTCATAAGCATTTAAAAACAATTGAATTTAATAATCACGAGTATGCATCCGACACTTGCGTTTAAATATATACTCACAAAGATCGCTCACTAGACGTAAGCGTCGCGTCGTCTCGTTGCTTCCTCAGCGCGTCTATTTCTTCAGACTATTCGTCTCACATACGGCGACGTGCATCCAGCGTGAAACACACTAAGCGATCGCACTGGGTAAACACTTATAAGCGAGGCGAAAGCGGTGCCACCGGGCCGACAAAAGACAAGGATGGAGCGCGAGCGACGGAAAACAGCCGGCCGAAGAGCGGCGGCGGCGGCCGCGGCGGCGGCGGCAGGGAGGGACAAGAGACAGAGACAGAGAGAGAGAGAGAGAGAGAGAGAGAGAGTGAAACCAAAGCACGGCGTTTGGTCGTACGAGGCGAAAGTCCAGAGAGGATTTCTTGAGTTCTATGGACGGGAAGATCTTGGTCTCCTCTACGTGTATTCGTCCGGGCGTTTGGTCGTACGAGGCGAAAGTCCAGAGAGGATTTCTTGAGTTCTATGGACGGGAAGATCTTGGTCTCCTCTACGTGTATTCGTCCGGGAGCTTTTGATTCGCTGCTGGGGGATCGATGTGCAGCGGTGGCTTTTTCCGGTTTCGCCGTCATTTCATAGGCGGCAACTCTTTCTCACTTCTGCTTTTTGTTCAAATTGAATGACATTGATGAAGAAGTCGTCGGTGTAAGTTTTCGATCAATCGATTCATGTAAGAACATTGGTGCGGTGTTACGTTAGCTGCAATGTGGAAAAGGCGAGCGCCTCGATCTTTCGCTTTATATGGCTATTTAGAGGTGAATAACTGGATTTAGCTTGGGGTAGTGTGTAAGTCACGTGACTCGTCTTTACAAAAAGAAAACAAAAGAAAAGGAAAAAGAAAAAGTAAACATTCCTCAGCGGACAAACGAGATTCGTATATTATAAACGTAATGAATTATTTTATTATTTTTCAATCGCATTAGTAGGTGAAACTGTTTAAACTCGAGTTCTCTCTGTTTCTATAAATATTCACGCTTCCCCAAAGTGTAGGATGAAAGGTAAATTTCAACGGTTATTGCATTTACAAAATATATCAAAGTTTTGAAACATATTATAACTCAATGTTTTAAGAAACTTTGTAATGAAACTTGTAACGCATTACCGTCTATTCGCTTTTTATTAGATTATCGACATAATCTTTTCTTTCTATTATTCTATTTTTTTTATGGCGCGTTGTTTGTTATGTAGCGTATGAAATTATCAAGTTACACTGATATTCATAGACGTAGGCAAACTAATTAACAACAATTGCTTATAATATACGATTATTATTAATGCTGATTCTTGCTTTTACGAATTTCAAACATCGGTGAGTTTACAAACGTAGTAATTAACTATTCGAGTAAATATATAATCGCATTTTATTAATCTCATTCATAATAAAAGCCTCTAATGCACATCATAATAAATGTACGCGCTTGTAATCTAATGTAGCGTTCATAAAAATTATCAATCATTTAATTACTACCAATCTGTTTATTTATTTCGTTGTATTGTCAATTAACATTAATTGTTAATATTAATATTAATTCAATAAAGATAAGAAATGTTAATCAATTATTTTCTAAAGAATAATAATAAACTTATTTTTGTTTTCATTATTTTTTCATAATACAGAAGGAGATGTGCGCACGTGTAGTGAACGTGAATCAGACGTGGCATTGGTCACGCTCTACACAGATTTTGAGTTTCGTGCGCCTATATGTGCCCTTTGTGTGGACATGCGCGTGCGCACGTGCGCCCGCACTTTTGTATAGTGGTAAATGGACGGTTATGATGGTGGGCGGATGGACAGGTCTGGACGCGTATGCTTGCCTGCGTGCTTATACAGATGTCCGCGCATTTGTATATTACGGATATTTATATATATATATATATATATATATATATATATATATATATATATATTATATATTTTGCATAACGTATGAGTTATGTGCAAATGCATGCATACATCATTCATTTATGATTGCTGGAAAAAAAGAAAATCACAAATGTGAATTATCGCTCATGCGACAGTACGCCTCTCATTGCAAGATAAACTCGTAAACGATTGTCAAAACGTTCGATATGTGCTACAGTTACCATCGTTCCATGCATTTTATGTTTCCGGGAAGGAAACTTTACATGAAATATAATCGTCTATCCATAGTCTAGACAGACAGTCGTGACATTTAGGTTCAATGACTTAATCATTAAAATTTTTACGTGTTTTTAACCACGATTTGCGATAAGGTTATTTATTGCAATATACCGCCCAAATCAACAGTTCCTCGTTTTATAGGAAGTAAGAGTAGTTGTGTTTTAAAGAACAAACTAAAGAAAATACTTCTCCTTCTTTTAATATTCAAGTTAAAAGTGCAATTTTGAAGTTAATGTTCATTACGCACAGTGAATTATTAAATGGTAAAATATTGATTAGATTCAATATATATAAGTTTTTTTTGTTTTTTTTTTAAAGAATTTTATATATTTTTCAATATTTTTGGTAAAATGAGTTTCGTCACAATGATGTTGATACTTCATAAAATGTATTTGGTACTGTAGGTTAATAAGATCTACAACTAATAATTAGTCATACGTATGTCAATGGTACTTTCGATTTTCATGTAATTAATTAAAAAATATTACCAATGTTTCCATTTTTAAACGAAAACTAAAAACTATTAATAAACGAATAGCCGGTGATTATTTTACATAATTTTTATTCTTAAAGTTTAACGAAAATAAATCAACGAAACACACACGCGCGCACTTATAATGATATACATATACATGTACTATGTATAAAAAGTTACTACTTGAAAATATAATTATTATACAATAGTTATTTATGTAATTGTATTTACACATGTGTTTATATTATATGTTGATTAATTTTTTTTATAAATTATAAATTATTTTATACATTATTTTATAAATAAAATAAATATAAATGAAAAAATACGTATACGTAATATATAAAAAAAGATTTAAAGTGCAGACAAGTAATTTCCTCGTTTTTTGTTTGTTTTTGTATGAAAATATATAACAAACAAATTTAAAAAATTATCACAACTATTATAGTGATTTAAAAAATGCACACAAATAACAAATAAAATTAGTAATTAAGCATAAGATTTAAAAGTTAACAAAAAATTCATTAAAATCTCGTCGTAATCGGATATAGTATTGAAGGAATAGGATCGATGGTATTATCTCCATCATACACTAATGTTATCCTGTAATGATAAAAACATTCAGTGTCCTGCTATTTGGCTCTTTACGTTTGAGAATGTTAATACCGACTTTTATTATTTACTTAAATATAGAATAGATTTGTTTTAAATCATTAGTAAATAAGATTTTCAAACGTTTGGGATAAAATTGTTATTAAAAATTGAATTATAATAAATTTTTCTAATTTTTGATCTATCTGTTTAAACATTTTTTTGTTTACTCGGGTCAATATTGAAAAATTTACAATTAATGAATAATAGAAGATATTACCCTTAACTTATATTACTATTCGCTCATTAAAATTGAATAGAACAAATCAACTTATATATTGATATAAATATTTAAAAATTTTATATTATGTATATTTTATTAATACAATTGGATATATTAAATATTTGTACTTCAAAAATGAATTTTCATAGATTTCATAATGATAAAACGTCAATGATAAATAATTATTCGATATATTGAAAAATTATTAGCAACGAACGAATTTATTGATTTTAGTTTTAGATACGCAAGCAAACTATGTGTTATAAAAATTGTGTCAAGTTCTTTGCTTCTCTAGTAAAGCTATTAAATCTCGTTAAAAATATTTTTAAATAATTTATTTGGGCAGTGTGAATAAAAATATTATATTATTCTGGTAATTATTTTATAACTTTTGTATTATATAACTTTGTAATGTACGGTTAATTTACCAATTTTTAATTATTCGTATAAAAATATTTATAACAAATATTTATAGCAAAGCTGCTGAAATATATTTGCAATGTATATATATTGTATACTATTCGACAAGCGGTAAATTATTTGTTAAAAAGTAAATATTAACAGTTGGTAATATAGTTGATTTTGGTTGGTTTTATATTGCAGAGCATAATAAGGTTCTATATTTCCACGCAGAATCTTACTTTAAGAAATCTGATCTAAGGACGTAAAATATCAATATTTATAAAAATATGCGTGGTAAGAAAAGTTCTTGTGGAATTATATTTAGTAAGAGCAAAAAAAAAGACTCATTCAGAATTATTTTTTTTATCTTATATTATATTATGAAATATTGTTAATAATAAATAGTAAACTAATCCATTTATTTATCATACCGCCAACGTTAAAATATAAAATTAAAGCACTAAATTATGGAGGTTGATTTAAAATAAAATTTTCTCTCTACTCGATGGTAAATCTGAAATTGCAATTTCAAAACGATCTTTTATGAAAGATGTATTATGTTATGTTATTTTGCTTATTATAGAAAAAATTTATATATATATATATATTGAAGTTATTTTTATTTATCATCGGAATGAAAAATATATGAGTAGCTATTATGAATTTGTTCATTCATATTTTGTCTAAAACTTTAATGAGAAATTAAATGATTTTATCAAAATTGTTAATTAACCATTATACGAAAATTCTTAAACTATCTTATTTATATATACTTATTCAATAAACTCATTTCCCTTCAATTGATAAATTTATACTACATATTTATTGTCTTTTTCAATATCTCAAAATTGTACATTTTTGAAAACACTTAACCATTAAATATATAATTACATACGAAATCATAATTATCAACTATTTAACATTTATATGAGTTTTAATAAAATTTCCAACACTATCCCGAACAATTCATCTTTTAAACATTCAATAAGCCAATTATAGAGCCAAACTTTATTTTTCAACTCCTTTTTTTTCAAGATAACGCATTTCTTAATATTAGAGGAATCTAGAAATGTGTATTATTCAATTCCGTTTATCGATGGATTTGTGGCATTAGAAATGTAGTTATTGTGGTTAACCTGACGAATCGATGAATGTGCTCCCTTAATAACTTGAGGACGGCCAGCTAAAACAGCCGCCAGTTCTTCCTGTTGAGTGAACATTAAAGCAATTAGACATATCGTTACACGGAATTATAATAAGATTACATTAAACGGAACCAAGAAAAAAATCATATTTACGATAGATCATAAAATTTTCGGCAGAGCTTATGGTTCTGCAAGTTTAGAAAAGAAATTTATATTTATATATAATCAATGTAAACATTTGCTCCCAAGTAGATAGATAATTTTGTTCATTTGCTTTTAATAATAAGAACAATCAAATCACTAATAAAGGATAGTTTTACTAGGAGTAAAGAGTAAAAATATGAATTTTGTCATACCAAAAATTGATTTGTAAAGGAATTAAGCCTGAAGATTGCACCACTTAAAGCATTGAATTGTGCACTGGAAATCTCGCGCTTCCCTACAATCAGTACCATCTGTAAGATATAAGAAAGGAATCCTTGAATGCATTCATAATTTGGGATGTAATTTCATGTTTCATCATTATGATTTTACATTAAAAGTAAAGTAAGTAAACGTCTTTTATTTGCCTAAGGTTATTAGGTTATTATTTTTAATTTAAGCGGTTAGTCTTGAGATGTTTTATTTTAATTTTAATGTTCGTGTCTTTTATCATTAATTTCACTTTAATGTTCATGGAATATCTTGTGTAGCTTAACGTTCGGTAAGTATAATACTTTAATTATTTTAATATATTTACGGCATACTATTGTTCATCATATCGCTGGCAATGTTTAAATAAGATATATAAATTCATCACGAAGGTAATAAATAAGCTTATGGGGGTGGGTGGCGCAGGGCGTGGAGCGGGGGGCACAGGGGGTTATTCAAGGACAATAAGAAGGATTGCAGTTGCGTATCTTAATACTTTTAATTTATTAAAAAATATTTAGAAGTATTAAAAAAGAGAAACATACAAATTGTCTAATAATGTTATATTAAATTCTATAAGAAAAATGATAAATGAAGAATTTAATTTTTTCATTATTCGACCACTTTGTATTATAAATATATGATATAAATTGTAATATAAAAAGTACATGAAGAATCATTGCCAAATTGTCATTGCCAAAAAATAATGGAATGATTTAAAATATCATTAAATAAGCATTTTATCGATGTAGTATTTATCGATTTGCTTAGCAATCATTATTAATAATATTATTATTTTCCATTTGCTATAGAAGATTTATTTATTTGTTTAATATTATTGGTCCTCAAAAGGAAACGAATGTAAAATTATGTCTCTTTCATAAAGCAGTTACAGCATAAACATATTTCTCTCGGTATTTTTTCTTAAACAATTTCTGTCAAATTATTTAGCTAATTAAACGATCAATTTTTTATTAATCTAAAATACTACATTTACAAAAAAATTGTATTACATCATCATAGTTAATTTGTTTCTGTTTTTAACCGATTTTGTATTATCCTTGAAAATGTTCATTTTCATATCAATATTGTGTATCTATGATTCATCACTTTTAGCAATATGATGAAATTATATTGTTTGTCAATTTTTCAAAAATTACTTAAGATGAAATTAGTGATGATAATTATATATATAATTTTAAAATTAATTTTCAATTGATGAGACAACTTTACTGTGCATTATTTATTTCTAATACCCTTATTGTTTATTAAATTATTGTTTAGTTGTATTGTTTACGAAAGTGACATTAATTTATGAATGACAGTTTAAAACTAGAATTCCAATTACTTACGAATCATTTGGTTTGCTGTGCTAAATTATTTCAAATGATTTTGCAGTATTTTAACATATTGGCAAAAGTATTAATGAAAAATCATACATAAACTAACAATTTTTGGTTTTAATGCAAGACTTTAACTATATATGGAGCGCAATTATATACATACATACGAGTGAAAAATAATGCTAAAACAAAAAGGACAATAATATTTTATTTGAATTTTAGGTGTAAAACAATGAAGAATATAAGGGCTCGTTATTTTTATCAAACGTCGTATAATTTTTGTATAATGTTGTTGATAATGTTTATTAAATACATGAATGAAGTACTTTGTTTCAAGCGTCACTAATTTCATTTCACTCATTTAAAATTAAATTAGTTATAAAATTCGTTGGATTAGCACGCATCCGTGACATAAAATTCAAATTCATAAAATTCAATAGTTTCAATGTGCAAATTTTCCATAATCACAAAGTATTATTTACGATCATAATTCCAATACTATTTCTTTTTTTCTAGAAATAATGACGTATTATTTATTATTAAATCAATTACATTTATCATTTTTGAATTCGAACGGGACGCTTATGTGACAATTTCTATAATTTATCACCGTTTTGCTAATGTCATGTTACTAAATATATATATATATATATATATATATATATATATTTATATTTATATATATATATAATTATTATATTATTATTATATTATTATATTATATTATTATAATTATTATATAATTATTATAATATATATATATTTATATATGTATATGTATATGAATGAGTGTAGAATCATATTTAATTATTGCAAATAAAATCCCAGCATAAAATTCCAATATATTTGTGATGTAACTAAAGCAAAATTGTGAAAACCAAAATGAATTTTGAACAATGAAATTTTCAGATAATTTGTTTTTTTTTATCCTCGTACACTATTTGTTTGCTACATGTTTATGTTTATCACTAAGCTTCAATCGCTTTATAAATATAATTCTTCGATTGAATATTCTACAGGACACAAGAGCACCATGCTCTTCGTTAATTATAGCGAGAAGAAAAGCAAGTACAGGACTTTTCGTAAAATGTAATTAAAAAATATAATTTATTCCATCAAAAACACGTATGCCAACGTAGAAAATTGCACGTCTATTTCTGGGGAAAATTTGACGCCTGTTGATCACTTAGCGTCACATTGGCGATATTCTTTTCCACATCCGTACCGGCCTTAACTACCACCTCCCTATCGTACACAATCGCTTCATTTACCGTCAAATTTTCCGTTTCATTTATGATGGAGTACATGACCGTGTGACCCTTCGCTCCGTTAATAAGAACGTCAGCCTTCATACTATCGACACTAGTATCGCTCGCTTTACTGTAGCCGACGTCCTCCCAGGCCGCTGACCTCTCGCCACCCTCAAAGCCGCCATAATTCTTGGCACGCAATGCTTCGATAAATGACAAGGACGGCTTGTTGGCTACCGGTGGCAACGGTGCAATATTAATGACCGCAATGAGAAGGAGAGATCTGCCATCAGGACAATTGTCACCGTTGCCAACGCCACCACTACACTTAGCACTAGCCAGCTGCCGGCTCGTTCGGAACTGGAATTTACGCTCGGGACGAAACGTTAAGTTCTTGGGAGCTAAGGTGTCATAGGGGACGGCAGCGACTTTGCGGTGGTGGTGGTGATGATGATGATGATGATGATGATGATGATGATGGTGGTTAAGCGAGGTTGCGGCCACGAGGACATCGACGAGAAGACGGTAAATCGATTCATTGATAACCTTGAGAACCTGCTCGAAGATTGCGATCAGCCGATGGGAGACGCCGAGGAGGGCGCGAGCCATGCGTTTCGGGGCTCGGGATGCCAGATTTGCGGTGCCGTTCACCAGGTGAACGACACGGCGCGTTGTTTCGCGAGTGAAGAGGACTAGCAACTGCTCCAGGTTCGTGGGTCGGGCCTGGTTCTCTGGCTCGGGCAGGCTTAACGACGCCCACAGCTCCTTGGCCTTCTGCAAGGCAAGTTTCGGATCCGTGACTATCTGAAAATTATTCAATTTTGTTCCATTTCGTTATCATGGCACTTAATTTTCAGTTTATTTTACGTGGTTCGCATCGTTGAGATACGAGGGATTGCTCTCAATCGTCAGAGTTTACTTTTAAGCTTTACATTATCCATATCGAGAAGCTCACTTTGGACATAATAGCAAGCTTTGAAGCTATTTCTTCGTTTATTTCATAATTTCGCAAGAGGAATGCGCATACCCGGGATTATTGTATATTTGCATCTCGCTCAATACTGTAGACGATCCTTAGTTTGGAATTTGCGGTGACATTTAAATTGCATCGAGTCTCTATTGCTTTTCAATCAAAACATTTGCGTTTTCGTTGCACGATATTTTCAATCAATAGTTTTCCAAATTAATAGTTATTGTTATTTAACTTTTAAAGCAATTAAACCATCATAAATCCATAATTTTCCATAAGGTTATCGGCCCATCTCACGTAGGTGTGATTTCGTTCGATCGTATAACCTAAGCAACAATAGAGCACACGTAAAGAAAATTGTGTTTTCAAATGGCATTGCGCTTGAAATTTTGTTTAAGAAAGATCGAGACTTTAGTATTTGTCTCTTGGCGAAAGTATCGATCGTGGACATTAAATATCTCGATGATGTCGTTAAATTTATCGTCACTTCAAGTCAAGGACCACAGGTAATCTCAACTAAGAGGTATAATCTCAATGGCAATAGACTCGAATAAAACGCGCAATATTTTTTGAATTTCAATTCGTCTTACTAAAGGGTCTAATGTATTAATTGCAATAGCATAGATATTATTACCAGTTCAGCAACGTAGAGTAGTACATGTATACACTCGGTTCCCTGCTCCTTAAGTGCTCGAGCTTCGGCCAAAGTGCGACGCGTCAACCTTCGCTGGAGTTTGCGCGAGAATCTGGCACCTTTCTCGATCGTTCCGACCGCTTTATTGCTCGTTTCATCGGCGTTGATAGAGTCTGTGCAGGCTGCGATAATGATAAGCACACCCAATGATACATACACGTGTAGTGCCTGTTTATGTTATTGTTAAAGCTCGGGGCTCCCGGGTTCGAGGAGCGAATGAGCTTTTCACGGGATGGTATAGTACGGATAATTGTCCTTTAGTTGTTTTCTTTTGCTCCGACTGACTTTAAACGAGCCAATGAAATTAATTGCTAAAACGCCCATTTTAATATGGGGTATAGTTATCGGCGAATGACATAAAATTTCGCTCAACTGATGTTTTACGTAACGAGAGCGCAAGCAAGCCGTAATTTTCATTTTACAACTTAATTAATCCGATAATTGATATAACGCATAGAGCCGATGACATAAAAACGATGCTGAAAAACATTCGAGAAAGCTTTTTATCGTTTGCACGGATATTATTATAAACTCGGCATCTAATTACGTGTACTTTGTATCGATGGTAGAATATTAGACAAACGAATAATAATAAGACAATAATGAGCATATATTATTGAGATTAGAAGGTATGTCCGGGACGTTAATGATACGCGTGACCGCTTACGATCAATATGAATCGATTGCCTGTTTATTAAAGGCAAAGAGAGCCAAAATATATTGACAACAACTAACTTGCTACCGGGCACTTCTTACTTTCAGCAATTTTATCGGCTGGATCGGCTGGGAGATAGCGATCGACGTATTGGTCGGCAACATTGATGGCACCGACCAGCCTTTCGACAGCTGCATTTGCCGCTTGGCTGCCGATTAATTTGACGCTATCCGCCCTTATCAGCACAGGCTTCACGAATTTGTTATTTACATATTCTCGTGTATTCCAGTACATCTGTAGAAATATATTTATTATTTTCAACGCGCATGTATTGTATTTGTAAAACTTAATGCCTAAATTAGTCGAATAGATAAATCATTAATATAAAAAAGAATATTTAAGAATATATATATATATATATATATATATGTATACATGAGAGTGCAGTGGTAATGATAATTTAGATATAACAATTAATACGTTAATATTTATTACGTGCGTGTGTTTATTACTGCATGTATCCTTTCGCGATTTTGAAATTATTCCTTCCGTACGAGACTCAACTCAGTTGTGGATCCTTGTGTAATCAATCGAATAATTTAAAAATCGCTCAACTCGAATGGTTCTTTTTTCATAAGGAATATCAATATTTCACACTACACACGTATACTCATTCGAGTTTTTATAAAATATAAACTATTAAAATATCGTAAATTACCCGTATTAAAGTATGGGAATCAGTATATGGAATTGGATGTAAAAAAAAAATGGCCAAAAGCTTCATTCAAAATTATTCCTTACTACGGCACTTCATACTTTTGTATATACATACCTCTGTTAAGTTCACAATAAAAATAATAATAATATTTATACATATGCTTATTAAATTATTATTGCTTTTATACAATAAATGATCATTTGAATGAAATTTGCTATTATATTATTATATTATATATTATATTATATTATCGCGTACTTTAAGAAAGATTTTATACTACTGTATTTCATCAATATTTAAAAAAACAACATCACGAACTACTTATTATAATATAATAACTATTATTCTAGTTGTAAAAATATAATTTTATTATTAAAGCCGCAAGTATAAACAAGAAATATACGACTCATAATTATAATACATTTTGTAATGTTGCAGTGCAGTAATCACTATCGAGTAAAAATGTTCTTATCACTAATAAATGTAAATAAACTAGTAAATAACAATCAGTAAAACAAAGTTACATGTAATTGAGGACGAGGAATTATACAAGCTTGTGTATAAACTAGAAGCAACAGACGATTGCACAATGCTGATTTTGATTGTAGTAGTAATCCTTATTCAATGTTACAATAATTAACTCTATTTATCGTATGAGACTAAACACAAGTCGACAAAATTATGCTATAATGAATGTTATTACCGATTTTTATAGACGGACAATGATTTACTGACATTTATCTTATTTTTATAAAATTTTCTTTTTCTCGAACAAGTACATTTTGAATTTATACTTCCTTTTTCTCGGTCCAATGCAAATAATACAATGTTATTACAACATAACGAATTAATTACTCCTTACTTGTTTTTTTTTTGCTTTTTTTTGTTGTTGTTGTTTTTTTGTTGTTTTTTTTTATCACGACAACAAAATATTGTTAATAAATATCATACGCAAAAACATGAAAAACGGCACATGTATTTTTAAAATATTACTTGTCAAAGATTTATTCGAGAGAATAAAATTGCTCAAATTGATTAAACTTTTCCTTAAATATCTATATAAATACATGTGCAATGAATTCAATTTTATACAGCTTCATTTTAACGTAATAAATGTAAGTAATTTGCCATTGTTGAAATCATGCATGCAATAAGATCATTATTTCACTCGCAGCCAATAAATCAATAATATATATATAATTTGATGTCTTGTCTACGCATTTTTTTTTTAACATAATGCTAGTCTTTATTATAATAATAATAATAATAATAATAATGATAATAATAATAATAATGATATAGCGATAATTATTTATATTAAATTATACGACTCAAATGTTCTTATTTTACAATTTAATTTTAATTCGATTATTTTTCTAAGCAAGATTTTAATATGCGTCGCAGTTAATATGAATTAGAAATTGAAGGATAACGCGAACAAGAAAATGCAATTCGTCGTTAAATTTTCTGATAGAAAATCTAACGATTATGAAGAATTAGTTTTAATTATGAAAATGAAACGGAGAGAATTTATGACATAATAACATTGAAACGAACTAAAGATCGGGAATTTTTCACCAACCAAATGTTTATATTTTTTCTAAATCTCCTTATGAAAAGTGCTGATCGTGCATAGATTAAAAATTGCAGAGACGTGTAAAAATAACTTATAACCATTTCCATTTTCTCATATATTATTATAATCTATTAGAATATTGGCATCTATTATATAATTATAATGTACGTGTGAAAAATCATTGCTTATTAATAAAAAGAAAAAAAAAACTATTATGCATTACTTATGTAAGTTAAATATACAGTTTAAGTGTACATAAAACTGAAAAAAGTACTTCAAAGTGCAATATTTTACTCACCGATAATTTTATCATCTATTTTTATAAAAAATAGGCTTCATCAACAGCTATTGAACATAAGATGTTCGGTTAATATTTTATAAATTTGAGCTGATAAATTTTCTTACTGATTTATGCACTGAACTGAATCGTACAGTAGATTTTGATCGAAAATTGGGTTAATGATAATAACGCTTTATACGATCTTCCAAAATACATATTTGAAAGTCGTAGTTATAATAATTTTTAAGGTATCGATTGAATTTCCGCGCATCGGCTGTAAGTGATAACTAAATCAATTTGGGAGCCGATGGAGTTTAAAAGACGATGAGGGACGACGATGAGAAAAATGAAGGAGGACAGAAAGAAACAAGAAAATAGAAACACAAACGCTTAATTGTCTTATCAAATATTCAGTAATAACGCATGTAGGAGGGAATATATATTACGTCAATGATTTTCTAAATCCATCCATGCTTTACCGAGGTTCGACAAGGGAGGATTTTCATACGCCGACTATTGCGTGCGTATATGTGCGTAGAGTGCGCCTTGGAGTTACGTAATAGCCATAATTGGCTGAAGCTACGGGGGCTGGCGGCACATCATTCATAATTTGTTGATTATGCGCGACTTTAAACAATTTGACAGGGCTGTAACTCATTACTTAAAAAGCCGCTGCCAATTGGGTCAGCCAAGTGTATCGGCTATTCCCAGTGGGTCCCAAATGTCCCAGTCTGTACTCACGAGGTGTGGAGGAAGATGCACGGCAGGGACGCGCTGCTCGACAATGTCGATGCCTTTGCAGAGCATTTGATCGATCGTAGAGATCGGCAGGTTGAGGGCCATAATCGCCGGCACCGCCGACGCCGTTGCCATCGCCAGGGACTGTTCCGCCGTTTCGAGACCCCAGTTCATCAATGAGTTTGAGCGCTGTGCAACAAGAGAGACTTTCTTTTAGTGTTGTATTAGCTATTCCAGTTGCTACGTGCTACGCTTGGAGATCAAATCATGTTTCGTCTTTGCTTAAGTGGATTCTAATCTCGGACTTATTATAGATAGTTTACATTAGAATTACAATTACCGAGGGAATCGATCATTACGTTGGCCATTTTAGTACGATCGTAGGATTAGGAGGAGTCGAATTTGCCTTGAAAATTCATTGCGAACGGCGAGATCGACAGGCTCACAACACCACATAACACTCACAATGCAGTTTAAATTTCACGTTCGTCCTATCGTAATTGTGGTAATTGTCCTCGTACGTATGAAAAAAGCAATTTTAATATTTCCTTTGGCACATAATTCCATAATTATTTATAAATTGTGCGAGTAAGATTATGGGCCGCAATTATTGATTAATAATAATTTTCAAAGTAAATGATATTGTAAGTCAGTAGATCTTTCCTTACTTGCCACTTCTTTCATTAAATGAAACACAAGTCGTATCTATTTTATCGGAGTCGAAGAGCATAAATACTTTTTCTAAAGAAACATTAATCACACGTATGCTCGATGGTGTATGTGCAGCATAAGTTTTGCAGTATTCATTCGGCGGTACTCGGTTTATTCGACTCCCAAGTCGTCGTTATTGATTTGCTCTCTTCCAGCGTCCATTAAACACGCCCGATCCTTTTAATTTACTCTATTTGCGTCATCTTCTACCGAAGAATATTTTTCAGTTTAATTTGACGAACATAGCAGTATCGTTTGCCTATAGCGATAATTACAAATTTATGGAAAATTTTATCAAATACAGCCAATGACTCGATAATTTTGATCGACAAGAGAAATTTTAATGCACAGAATAATTACAATAAAGTATTCCATCTTCAATAAATAATAAGATGAGCAGAGTAAGCAGAAACACGTGTGCCGATAACTCATTACTTGTGCTGACATTTTATTTACGCTAGATGCCCGATAACGCAATCGATAGCCATATTGTATATTCTAACTTTATTAACGTTTTAACAATTAAAAAGAATATAATCTCATGTGACTAATGCATCGTGATATTTTAAAAAAATATCACTACGACAATCTTCGATTCGCATTGCCACGAGCTTTCTCCACATTCGATATTTAAGAGCTTTTCAATCTAATATACGCGAGCAGTGAATTGACAAATGCGCCCAGCATTAAACATCATCGTCATCATCATCATCATTATTATTATCATCATTATCATCATCGGAAGCATTATATGTAACTCTATTGGAACGAGATTAGATGGACTAATTAAAAGCGACGTGACCTCTTACCTTATTATTTTACGGAATTTCGTTCGGTACAAAAGAGTGCGAGGGTGTTAGCTAGTAGTTGCACAGTCGCCGACGCATTCAATTAATCATATAAATAATAGTAAATCATATAAAAGGCAAATTCGACTCGCCAATTTACCTCGGGCATTAACGGCGTGAGCCTCACCTTTATTTTCTCGTAGACAGTGCCGGCGATGCCGATGCCACTCTCGACGATCGGGAAGTTAGAGATCCTCGCCACGGATTCGAGCTGGAGCTCCGTGTGTCGCCTCTTGAAGCCCGGGCGCGCCATTTTCGTCTAGGTGCAGCGGTGCCGCGTACGACTTCTCTTCTTCGCTCGCGTGAATCTCGCAAGCGCGCGAGTCCGTTTCCGGCCTGCGTGGGCAAAAAGAATATAGTGCGTACAATCTTGTAGCGAATGTGCCGGGGTGGGGGGCAGGGGGCTGTAATGGTAGTACTTTAAGGAGATGCTGATGCTGCGGTTCTCCTTCCGAAGTTGCACTGGGCTTCACTGGGGAGTGGAAGAGGAGCGAAACAGCACGCGGGAATAGGGCGCGGGACGCACGGCCGAACGTGAATTCCTTGAGGTGCAGTTTGTAAGCTCCGAGGCGATGTATTACCCGGGGCCTGTTCGAGTGGCGCTGTCGTTATTGGGCAGCAAGAGTAACGATGACTGATGGCAAAAATGCTAAATAGAAGGAAGCGTAGCGAGAGCCGCGCCGAAACTTATATCGTCGCAATGATTTATTTATTAAGAAATATCGCTGCTAGCCAATCATTATGATGCTGATAGCGATTCATGCATCTAGAGTCTAAAGTTTCTTAACTTTGATGTTTAAATGTAAAAAGTGGAAGCGGACGCTTTATTTTCTTAAATGATGTTTCGTACGAGTGGCGTAGAAAAATTTATTTCAAAATTATGAGAATCTTTTATACGCGCAGCACGGGAGAGCGGGAGGGGAGGATGCTTTCGCAATTTATTGGTTTACTCGGACTGATAAATATTTTAAACGTGCAAAGTTTGTAAATAATGTTCGGTACATTTCTACGTAGAATAAATAACATAAAAATTGCGCTGATTATATGGATGCACGTGTAGATTGCTATTCTTTACATCATACAAAATATAAAAATATTGATACATATGTTAATATAGTATTGCAGGATAATATAATACGAGTCGATGTTAGTAGGGGCAATGGGATTATACGTTAAATTAAAAAAATTATATTGTAATAAATCTTCTGTAATTTTTCAGATGTAAAATAGGACTTACCAATATGATAATTTGGCCACGTTTTATTACAAAATGGCATTTCGGTATTTTTCTAACTTTATAACTAGTCAGAACTAGTAACTAACTGACTTTGATATTATTTTTTAAGTGAAAAGTTGACTTGAAACTCAACTTAATATCTGATTTTGATTTAATCGAATAGTTAGGTAGGTGTAACAAGTCTCATAATTGTTCGTCCTTTTATTACGTACTATTTATTTTTATTTTTATTTTTTTTGATCAAGCAATGTCTCTCTATTATACGAGCTCGCAGAAAATTGGCAACATTTTTGAAATTCAACAAGCCTGCAAATAATTGAATTGTATATCTTACACTAGTTTATTTAAGATATTAAATGATAAAAAAATAACGTTTGATTAATATTTATAAAGTAAGCTGCAATTATAAAAAAATTGATATAATGGAAAGTAATAAACTTCTACATGTAATGTATTTTATCCTTGAGTTTTTTTCTGTAAAATATGTATTATATAATTTTTTTGTTTTTCTTTTTTTTTTTTTTTTTGTTATCAATTGTGTGGATGTACTATAATTATTTCATAAATTTGCATGTATTTGGTGTCAAGTTTAGTTTGCTAACTGATAATATAGAAATATATAATATCTTCTCTAAAATGTGGAAAACTTTTAGAAAAATTTTATTGCTTAAAGCACCATTTCCTGTTTTTATTATGATAAGAATTGTGATTATTTTCAAGTTATTGGGAGATTGTTTAGTGTAATGTTGTGACTAATTATAAATATTTACTAAATAATTTCTACTCATATAAACAGTATAGAAGATTTATTTCATTTTTGGTAATTAACAAAATTACGCGCAATAAGTGCATAAATGCATAACAAATATGATTTATTAACCTAATAAAAATGGCTTCGATTTATAAATAAATATTTTATTCTATCCTCATAATTATATGAATGAAATAATAAAAAATTAATTAATGTAAAAGTATACATGTAATAATTAATTTGTATCATTGTATCATTTGGATTTTGTACCAAATAATTATTTTCTATAGATAATCGTAACATTGCAGTAGTATAGAATAGTGAAATTGTAAATTTTCATAAGTAAACAATGCACGAGACTAAAATTTTGATAAATTTGAAATCATATTATACCAGTGAATTCGAAAATTACAAATAAAGGATCGATATTTCAATTAATTTTAATTATTATATTTTCAATTGATTTGCCTAAGAGAAGTCATCCTCGAAGTTGTTCTTGTCATAAAATCATTGCAAATATACCTTTATTGCATTAAATACTTTTATTCAATATGTTATTAAATTCTAATTTAGACATGTTTTGTCTCGTTCTCAAAATTGTCTATTTTTCCTTATTTATATTAGCCTTTGCAAGAGATTAATTAAAATCACATACATAAAATCAAATATACTTTTATGTTAAATAGTGAAACTTTATTTAATATCTAATATCTAATTGTAGTATAACTAGTATTACGAATTATTTGGTTTTATCTATTAAAAATAATTGCGTTCATAAATTCATTGCCTAATAATAAATTATTCATAAGACGAATAAATAATCATAATTATTAGATTTTTATTATTCTTATGGCATAATTTCACTACTAACAAATAGTTTTGAGAAAGAATAAATTCTTCCGAGTTATGTTCGATTTTGTAATTTAATTTTAAGTAATGGAACGTCGCCATATTCTGGCAATTGAATGGTTTCGTTTTAATTCATAATTTCGAATTTGTCGAACAAATAAAACTGTACTAATAACACCTTATAATTACTAAACTGTAAAGGTAGCACGTATAAGTAATAAAAATATTTTGTCGCGAATCTTAACGTTCCTAAACAATGTACTCGTCAGCTCATGAAATTTCCGGGGAATATATTTTCTAAAATGAAAACGTATTTCCTTTTCCTTTGTAACTATTTCAGGAAATTTATTCGTCGTATTTATCGCTCCTAGTGTCCTCGAAATTCATAATCCGTTAAAATTACGACGAATTAGAAATTGGACGGACTGCATAAGCAGACAGGAGTGAGAAACGACGTAACCGCACGTGTTTGCTATATAATAAATTTTTGCAAGACGCCATCGTTTTGCATTGCCTTTGCGTACGTGCAAAATCACGCATCCTCTTTGATCTACACGAGTAGCACGCGGAGTTCATATGCTTGCGCTTGTTTCTGTGTTGGGGAGGCTGACGATAAGAAAGGTTATAATGTCAAGCTGCAGGATATTACTCGACAAATGGTGGTTAATGTCGAGGCTAATGTGTGTGTATATAAGAAGACTGGCGCGCATGCGCGCAAAGTCTATTTAAGATTTTTGCGAGGTAATTACTCACTGGACCCGCGAATGATCTTTTATCCCGGTTTTGTGGATGCGACAAGCCATTACGGCCGTTTCGAGTAGTTTACAAAGAGTTAAAATAAAAATGTTGCCTTATAGTGAAGATTAGATTAAGCTTGGATACCGTTTACGCGAAACTGAATGCATAATCACAAACTGATAATACGTACAGGCAAAATTTGCCTTTAAAAACATATTGAAAATGAATATTTGGCAATATTCTTATCTAATACATTATATTCTTTTTTTTTTCCTTTTCATAATGTAAGACAAAATATTTATGCTTTTTTATATTAAACATTTGAAGAATATTGAGATTAATAAATAAAGATCTTGAACAAATGTCTACTTAAACTTGTCAAACAAACTTTATAATTATATAATTCAAATATAACCGTTTGACAGTTGTATAAAATGGTAATCAATGCGTTTCGATCGATAAACCCGAAATTATTATTTTATTTTGAAGAAATAAGGGAATTGTGATAGGTATGAAGTAATTATAATTGTTGCTTTTCATGAAAGCAAACAAAAATTCAGTATAATTATCAGACAATTTAGCATACATTATTTTTAGTGCTGGTTATACGATAACATTTATGGTTTCGGTGTTTGCATTAATTTGTGTGAAATTTAAAAATATAATGTACGGAATGATACATTTCTGTAAATAAATTATCACTATCTTATAAATTTAGTGTATATATCTAAGTCATGTGCTGAATTGAAAATTACACGAAAAAATTATAAAAAATTTTTACATGATATTGAATTATTATTTAAAAAAATTTTTAAATTAAAACAACATTATCGCATGGCCAAAAAATTGTAGTTTTGCGAGGAAAATTTTTTCGATTGCTGAAAAAATGCCATACACTATATTGATTTTGAAATTATTTATAAAATAGAAGATTTTTCAATTTAAATATTATATTTAATATAAATAAATTAATCTTATTTAATCATTAAAATTCTATTAAGCCTTACAACATTTCCTTATTTATATTCATCAAAATTCGATAATCGCTTTAAAATAAATACGACATAGTAAAAATTCTTTATTTAATGTTAAATATTTAAATTTACACGATAGGCTAGTTAAAATATATTATTATTAAAATATATTAATTAATCATTCAAGTATTAAGAGCGTAATATTATTCCTATTTAGTTATCTGTATTTACATATATTAATCTTATATTTATATTTTAATACGTAAGTGTTCAATAGAGTAATCAATACTGCAAAAAAAGCTATTTTTTGTTAAAAACATTTTTATATCATACGTTTAAATTTATTACACTGAAGTTATTTATTATCGATTTTTATTTTTATGAGATTTCATAATTATTTTATATAAGTAAATCGTAAATACATCTATAAAAATGTTTTTTTAAATATTTCGCAAGTATCTTTAAGTACATTTGTTACGAAACCATTTTAGTGATTTTAATCGATGCGATTATGTATAAAAAAATTGTAAAATTATCATTTGTGGATGACGTTGATAAGTCTAATCTTATAAACACCTCTGTTCAATACAAAGTTCTTCAACATATCTAATTAGATATAATTTGTTTGCTTGGTACATTTATTCTTAATGAATAAAAGTAATATCTCTTTACGCAAATTTATGCTAGAAATCGTATAATAATTTATTTTAACAGATCACGTGCTCATAACATTTTTAATGAGGCTGAAGAAAACGAGCAATGTTAATTGTAAACAAAAATTGATAGCATCCCGACTGTGGTACAAAACGTCATAGAAATATTAATTAAATGATTCAATATCTTGGAGAGAGCAAATATTCCAGAACATTATTTATAAGAATGGTTTAATTGATTACTCTTTAACGTTTATAAGTTTTTTTATTAAGATTTTAGTATTGACTGTAGCAAACAAAGTAATGATTCGATTAAAAAAAATTCATTATTAAATTAATGAAAATATATACATTGTATTTATTTTATCCGTAAAGAAACGAATATAGAATTTGATCTTAAATATAAATTAAAACAAAAAAATAAATAAATGGGGATTGATATTATAGGTATATATGTATAAGTGAGAGTTAATAGATAGTAATGCATACACTGTATATAGTATTATTATTATAGTATTATATTATATTATATTATATTATATTATATTATATTATATTATATTATAGTATTATTATTTATTATGTTTATTCATGTTTTTCATAAAAATATTAAATAAAAAATCAAGTTTAATTTAAAATTTTATAATTTATTTACAATAACTTTATTATATTTTGCATCGCTTCCCAATTTTGAAGCAATTAAAAAGCGTCTTTCTCATTTTCTACGAATTTGCATCTAGGCATCTCTGTACGTGCTGAATTATATTTTCAATATGTATTAGTCTATTATAATTATAAATTTTACTCAATTTGTATCTTTGTTTTTTACTGTACACATTAAATGTCAATTTATCTTACGGCCCTCGATTATTATGAGCGGAAAGTAATATATAAACAAATTTTTATTGATGGGCCATGATAATATAGGTAAAAAGAAAACCTATTTATAATTATGTTTTAAATAGCGAAAATTTTATAAATACTCCTCGTATAACACGTTTTCCATAAAATATATATTTACTATTTATTTTACAGTAAGAAGAGAAGCAGCGGAAAGTCTTGTATAAATTGAATTAAATATAATGATTATGCAGCTGTATAATGTTGGTAGTATGTCTTGAGTAAATTGTATTTAGATTAAATTGTTAATAGAAGAAATAAATAAGATACTCGTGGAATGAAAAATTTAGTAAATAACATAATGAAAAAAAAAGTAGAAATATTTTTTACTAACTGATTTTATTTTGTGCAAAATTTATGCGAGTTTTAGAGAATTTTTCTTAACGAATAGGAAAAGAATGTTAAGGGTTAAAGAGGTTAAGTTAATCTACGAACATTATCATTTATTATTATATTGGACCAGTGATACAAGTGTATATTTGTAAATTTTCATTCCCACAGAAAGATAAAAAAATAAAGAAATAACATTAAAAACTGTCCTTTATATATCAATTTGAAGAATAACCATTTAATATATTCTCTTTCAATGTAAAATTAATTAAAAATAACTATAATATTGAAACCAGAGGTGAATATATAATCAGTAATGATTTTATAATAAAACAATACTAGTAGAAACTAAGTTGAAAATATTAAATTTACTGTTTCTATAAATGTTCTATAAATCTTTTATTTAGAACACAATTTTTATAATAAAAATGGATTTACGGTTTCATGCATATAAATTGATAAGATAAATGAATTTAATCAATTTATAAATATATCGGTATTATAGAAATAGACATAAAAACAATTAAAAAACTATCAAAGATTTTAATAATAATATAATTAGTTTTATTATATTCATAAGGTATAAATTTATTGATTAATTGACATTTAATGTTTGAAGTAAATTTATTACTAAAGGTATTTCTAAAGATTTTTTTCATTGAAAAGCATTAATGCTATATTTAAAGAATGATAATAATAATCACAGAAATATCAAATATTATTCGTAGGTTATTTCAGGGGAGCATTTTTTTAATTCATGTTTTGCTGTGGATAATGTTATTTATGCCAAAGTTATCTGAAATCCAAAAAGCAAAATGATTTCGTTAGTATATATTTCTGTCTCGTGATTAATTCATCGGATTTCCGAACTATAAAATTTCGATTTGCGTGATAACAACGGCTATTTTTCCAATCATAAAATTGAGAATTGATGTTCAAATAAAAAAACCAAACGATCGAGCATTAAATTTTTATGATTAAGATGAACGTGTAAAATTAAGAAAATTTATAGAGCTTATAAGAAATCGTAATCATCTTACTGAGAAAATTTTATTTTCCGAAAAGTTTTTTTAAGTCTTTAATACTTGCTTAGATCTAGCTAAAATTTTTTTCTTAATACACATACGAGCGCATTATCTTAATTTATTAAGGATTGTTATTTATAAGTATTAACTTATTTTTCCGATCGAACATAGTAAACTTTTAAATTTACTTTCTCCAAATGGGAATTGCTGCATTGTTTCTTTTCTTGGCGACGATTGCTTATGATTGTTTACATAATGTAAGAATTTTGATCATAAAACATATTATTTCATAAGTAATGTATAACTTGATATATTTTTTAACAAGATTTGTTAAACGACGTTTTTCACCTATCCTATTAATTAAAATTTTAGCTATTATTTATTAGTCTAATAATGGTGCTTTAATCAAACTAGCAATAACAATTTAATGATTTCATTTCTGAAATTAACATCGGTCTGTGCTAAATAGACGCTCGCTATGATTTTTTGTTTTGCCGAGATTTTTGATAATTATCCCCTCAATAATTATAAATTTTTAATAATTACCGTAATATGTTCATGCGATCATTAGAACTTGCTTTTATGGAATTATTTTTATTTTTAACTACAAAAATGGCACAAAAAAATAAGTATAATGACGCAAAAGAATTTTCTTTGAATTGAAAATATTAAACCACAGCTCGATAAACCACACAATAAGTTAATATTAATTATTTAATAGCAAGTATTCAATTGATTGCCTATATATTTAAACAAAAACAACGACTCTTGTTTTAATTTGCAATTAAATTTTTACAATTCAACATACTTATCCACATGTACGTGTATAATAGTGGTCTCTAAAATACATGGATGAAAAATAAATAAATGATCGTATTGCGCATGTGTTAGGGATTGTGTACAGTTTTGTTAAACCACGTACCTGAATTTTCATATTTGCACGAGTTCTTTTCCTCCAGTTTATTGAAAGTGAAATATTCCCCGTGACTATTTGTGAAAAGGTTTACAATAATGTAATACTAATATAATACTCAACAATACAACATATTTGCATTTATGATCCGTTCGAATAATACTCGAAATTTGAATTTCCTACCATCGATTTCGTCTAGTTACGAACCATTAATAGAAATAATTCATAATATTGATTATAATGTAATCTGTCACTTTTGAAACAATATCTTAACATAAGGACATAAGTGCGATAATGGATAATATAAACGATATTGAAAAGATAAACAAATCATGCATTTAAATATAATTGCCTTTTCTTCTTCGTAGACTTTAAAAATCATGGCTATTGCGCTACTTCAAAATCTAGAGATTCTGGATGTCTTTTTACGCATTTTATTACCATTCGATTAACTTATTTATAATTCAATGTATACACGCAAGATAAGTATTTTATAAAGCACAAGTGCCGATAGATTTTAAATATCGAAGAAGAAGAGTACTCGAAATATTTCCGAATAGTGTAATAGCAAGTAATCGGAGAACATAAGGCATTACATAAGTGTAAGATAGAGTACCTCCGTCTTTACTTATTGTCATAAAGACGAGCGAGTTACATGGATTGAGATATGCTAATACTATATGTAAAATAATCGCGCATTTCCATTAGTGTCGAAATAAAAAAAAGTAATATGCCGTTAATATGAGCTGAGATGTAGACGAGAGAATAATATAAAATCAATTATAAATCTGCTATTAATGGCCTCACTTTCATATTGAAGAAAGAAGAATTATGGACAGCCGTTAATCCCCTCACATTGGCGATACGGAGAGAAGCTTTGGATTTGTAAAATCTCACCGTTATAATACATCGTTCGACATGATAACTGGCACGTGCGAGCGAAAGGTATACACTCTCGAGTCTTCGAGGCTCATTCTCAGGCTCACCCAAAGGATTTCGAATTGGGCCAAAAGTGCGGGGTAGCATCGCGCGGCTGGGGTGAATCCGGGGGCAGGGGGGTTAATGATGAGGGACGATGGTGATGGTGATGGTGATGGTGGTGGTGGTGGTGGTGGTGGTGGTGGTGGCGGTGGTGGTGGGGTTGTGGGGTGCGGTGAAGAAAATTTAATACCGTGATTGAGTTAATAAAAGTGTTGTTACCTTGAAGGTGATGGTAGTAGGCAGCGAAACGCGGTGGGGGAGGATGTCGAGCAAAACACCCCTTGGCTCAGGCGTTGCAAATTACGCAATGGCCAGCTCTAACTCGTTCCTCTTAGCCTTTGGCGTTTAGCTGGCAAACACGTTGTCGACTGCACGTTACGCGCGACCGTCGCCTACGGAATATCTCATCTGCTTGACCTATGACATATCGATTACGTTGCGCTCTGCTCTTTTCGATCTTACGCTAATTCTCACACACACACTCTCTCTCTCTCTCTCTCTCTCTCTTTCTCTCTCCCTCTCTCTCTGGTCGTCCCCTCATTATCGCGTCGTCTCTCTCCCACTGTTTTTTTCGTCTCGGCGCTAAGTGACCAGCGGGCGGAAAGGGGCCGCTCACCGCCCTCCACCGTCCTCAGCTCACCGACTCTCTCTATCTCACACTTGATGTATCTCGGCCTGTGACGCGCAAACCTCTTTTTCGGCTCTCTTTTTTTTTCTTTTATACATTAATCGGCGCGCACGCACGGACTATGCGCGCTAGGTGCATGCACGCGCAATCATCGCGATAAGCGTGCCTCGGTTTCGTAGGCGGACGAACGCACTGCCGTTCGTCCTGCGTTCGCCACGTTTTTATCTATCTCGGTTATCGTCTTTTTGCCGACGTGCGATATCACTTTGGTTCTCGAGTTGGATGGCTGAGATTTGGTTTCCTGATTATATAGGCTAGCGGGGATTAATATGCGAGCCTATGGACGCGGCGCGATACTTTTTGTTTTGTTTTGTTTAGCGTGCTCATGTGATGTCCTTGTTGAATTCGCAGGATGAAGAATGACGTTTTGGAGGTACCAGCGCAGCTCGTAACTTTGAATGGCTAATGAGCCTTGGGCTGTAAATCGTGCGTTTTCAATGCTTTTCGTTTGCTTCCTCGAGTGTGTGCAATTATTTTTATCGCTATAGATATATATATATATAAAAAAAAAAAAAGAGATTGAAATTCTTTTATCTTCGATGTGTTCAAGGGAGCCGAGAGAGTTGAGCGAAATTATTTGAAATTAAGTAAATAATTGGCCTTTTCGCTCGTACATTTTTTTTTACAATTTGTAATTATAAAATATTATATCACTGTTAAAGTAATACTGACATTCGGATTGTCATTCTCGAATGGATCGTACAAAAGTCTTAAAGATCATTTTTTTTCTTTAACCACAGTAGTATTTTCGATTATTCAATAATTAGATAGAGCCAATGGAAAATCAATTTCAATGCGTTATTCGCTAAAGATATCATAATTTTTTTTTACTTACTTTTTCCGTTAAGTACGTAGTGTACGATAATCATTGTGCTGTGAAATCAACTGAATTTTTTACTTATATTTCATACATTTTATGTTAACGTAATAGAAATGTAATAGCAGACATACACGCACAAGCGCGCGCGCACGCACACACACACTTTTTTTTCTTTAAACGTGAGTTATATTTTATTTTAGGTTATTATCGACAGACGAGCTTAATCGCTAGCAAAGTTCATTCTGGACAATAGTTAAGTGTCACATATTTATAGAATTATTATACTCGAGTTATATCTCATAAGATATTTGCAACAAGAAGAAAAAGAAAATGTACTGTCACGCAATGAAAAATTATTCAATTCTCATTATGAATATTTTATTTTAAAATTGAATATAAACATTTTCAATATTTTGCAACTTTTAATTATTAATAATATAGGCAAAAGTCACATTTCGTTAGAACAGGTGCGTAATTAAATATAATTCTTCATTTATCGAAAGATAAATTAATTATAAAGTCATTAACTAAAATTCTAATTTTATTAATAATGTAAATTATAAAAGGCAATTCTTATTTAAACAAATTCAACATTCTTAATCAATTTTTAACTTATACTTCATTGAATTAAATTAATACCCGGTCTTAAATACAATCGGTCTTTTAGTTCTCGAAATTTGCGCTCTACATTAATATAAAATGTATTTTATTTACAATCATGAAGTTTAGCAATTGAAACGAATAATCGATCATATAATTTAATCAAGTAAAATTGTACGTAAATAATACTTGAGAATGCTTATCAAGGAATATAATTTTGTCTAATAACAGCAAGAAGTAATAAATTTTTTTTTTTATCAAAAGTTCATTTAGTTTACAGTATTTAAATTTAAAATTACAAAGCCGGTAGACAATTTCAACGTATTGACTTTGCAGCAGAAGATAATTTAATCAGCAATAAAATATCCAATACTTTAGATGATTATTTATCGTGTAGCTATAACTTTTTAGTATACAATTAAAATTTCATTTACTTCAAATTTTAAAAATCTAATTCTATATGCACTTATTGATGATTTGAAATATATTTTTATAAAATATTTTTCATATGAATATCCTGACAATTTTATGTTGTAAGTTAAGTAAATATCCCGTGTCCCGCACTATTTATACTAATAAACGTTTTCAACTGTAATAAATATTACATAAACACATTATTTATTTGACAGTATTATAAAATAATATTTATTATAAAATAACATCCGCCAATGTAATAGTAAACAAGCAAATAACAATCTCTTAGACATTTACATTGTTCGCATATGTATTTTGAAAAAAATAAAAATATAAAGAGTACGTGATTATTAAAATTAAAGAAGACACTTTTACCGATGTTCTATTAGCTTTTGGTCTTTAGGGTGGTTGAACAGTAGACATTTTGACATTGACAAATATTTGAATTACAGTAATTTCTTCGTAAAGTAATTTCATTTATAATAGAGAACAAAAATTTATATTTGATTAATTTTGTATAATTTAATTATATTGTTTAATCAATTTAAAATAAATATTTCTGAATAATTTACTTTTCTCACTTCATACAGTTGTATGAAAAGTTTTAAGGCTGGATTTGACGAATATTATTATTATAAAGGAATGTAATTGAGATATTTATATAGTATATTTATAAATAATTATCATCACTCGTAATTATTCTATTTTAGTTTACATATTTATTTTATTTAAAATGAAATTGACACTTTTGTTTTAGTTGTAGGTAGTAAAAGAATCGTAAAAGCACTTAATACAGTATTTGAAAATATAATTTACTTTGCGTTTATATTAATATAAATGTTAAAATAAAAGTGTATTATTTGGTGTTTATCAAAATCAGTAAATGAATATATTTAAATTATTGGTTATGAATGAAAAATATTTCTTAATTATTTGAAAGAGTTATCATGTAATAATAAATACATATCTAAATTACGTATTCGATTCGATGATAAAAATCATTTATTTATTTCATTTATTTATTAAATATGAATACAGAAAATGATTAATTTATGTATATATATAAATATATACGTGTGTGTATGTGTGTGTATGCGTGTGCGTATGTGTGTGTGTTTTAAATTCTTTTGATTTTCTTTAATTTTATTTACTTACAATTCATAGTGAGTAAAGAAATATTGAATACTTATTTAACAATTTATTGCATAAAGTACTAATTATAATAATGATGATGAGCCCCGTGAATAAGTCAACACTAGTTATAACAGCTTTTATATTATATAATGAGGCAAGTAAGGTAGGAATTATATATTATGTATAATCACCTTTTATTTTAGATGCTAATGATGAGTGCAAAAATATGGTAAATTTACTCAATTAATATAAATATAAATTTTATATGTATTGATGTGTATATTTTCGGAGGAAAAATACTATAAAATTCTTATATAATGATATTCAATTAATAAGAACTTTTTTTTATCTTTGCAAGATAAAATCCATATAATATATTAAAATTCTCTAATAAAAGACTATTTGATTATTTTTTTCAGATATTTAATAAAATACTTTCATTTGATTATATACAAATTACTCATCTCCTTGGTTAGTTGTAAAGAGTTTTCTAAAGTTTGAAATAAAAATACAAATAAAGAAAGTTAGAAGTTGAACAATAAATTTAGCGAAACATGTAAAATACTAGTCAGTAACTTTACAAATGTAGTTCTCTACTAAACTGGACATAGTAATCTGTTAACTCTATCGAAACTCTTTGATAAATAACGAAATTTTTTGGAATATTTTTATGTATAAGAAATTATATGAATTTGAACAGCAATTACGTTTTAATAAAATAATGAATAGAAACAAATTTACGCTATTACTTTATTAACATTTGACCTGCTATGTTTTTATTTACTATTTAATTAACTACTTATTACATTTTTATTTTTTCATTAAATGTTCATTTACATTGTTAATACTAATAAATAAAGAAATGTTATTAGTTGATTTAATATAATGCCTTAAATTGCTATATTAGCTCATTTTATGTTAAAATATTACGAAATAATTAAGCGTTGATTTAATGAAATTGTATTTCATATTCATTCTTTCAATATGTATTGAATTTAGATTTTGATTATCAAAATGCTTATGATAATTCGAAAAAATTAAATGCATAAAAAGTGAAATTTATTTCTATTTTTTCTTTATAGAAGCATGTTTACAACAAAAGAGATTTCTAAGTGAAACATGTAAGAACTTTATTAAATGAAATTCTATTAACGTTGAGTTAGTTGTTGAATTTCATTTAAATTAGAAGTGTTGTAAAATTATTTCAATTACTTAAATCGATACATCAATCTTAATTATTATTAAAAAAAACGAACAATAAAAAAAATTAACATAAGAATTAATAATAAATTATTATAAAATTCGTATAATTTACTTAAATTTTATAAAATTAATAGCAGCAGTAAAAGATAAATCATATGAATAAAGAATCTAATATGAATATATATGAAAGCTAAAAGTATATATGACGAATAATAAAAATTAATTATAAAATTTATTAAATGTAGAACCACATAAATATAGTATAATAGAAGAAACAAAGGGAACCTTGAATTATGAAAAAAATTTCTACATAATATTTAACGATAATATATATAGATTTTCATTGTATTTAATTGCAAGTAAAGATTCTCAATTGTTAAGCTATAATTACAATACGCTGGAACGATGAAATTCCCATTTGCTCTTCTGCACAATTTTGAACGATCGAGTACATAAATATGCAAATGTGCTTTTGACTCCATTAATTTGTTCCCACTTTGTCGATATAACGTTCGATTTTTAATCGTATCGTTTTATTTCTGTACCAAGAGCAGCTATTTCTTGTAAATCGACTTAGTTGTGGTACGATTGTGTAGAAAAAGCGATGTGGACTTTTCCCAAATCAATGTAAGTGACCA